TCAACTACGAGGAAGCAGCTCTTCATGCAGGACTTGAGGTGAATCCAGTGGCCAAGACCTACTTGTACCTGAAGTCAAGCCAACTCGGACAGAAGGCCATTGACGACCTCCTGCTGCAGGCACACGCCGACATGCGGCGCTTTGAAGAGATCAGAACGTTGCTCCTTCGGATGGCTCATCCTCATGCTGATCAACCAGGAGTTCTTTATGAAGAAGCTGGACACCAAGCATACTATGGCGATGATGCTGAATCGACCTCATGGAGCACCGTCACAGACCCTCGACATGAAGAATGGCATGATGACGATCTCTACGCCTGGTATGAGGACTGGTATGATGGAGACGGCAACTACTACGAGGACTACCTCTACGACCAGGAGGAATGGCCTGACTCTTGGTATGAGTCTGGATTCGATGAAGAAGGTCCTGCAGAACAAGCTGATGGAGATCCCACGGAATCCAATGCCAATGACGAGACCTTTTACAAGGGCAAAGGAAAATCCAGAGCAAGCACAATGGGCTTGGGGTGTTCTACATGTGGCTCCAAATGGCACAACACCCACAGCTGTCCTTTGAACGACCAGTCCAAGGGCAAGAACAAGGGCTATGGAAAGTCCAAAGGTTATGGAAAAGGACATGGCAAAGGCTTTGGAAAACCCTTCAGAAAAGGATTCAACAAAGGCAAAGGATACGGCAAGAAAGGCAAGAGCTACTCCAAGAAGGGCTACGGGAAGCGTGGCTTTTGGTCCGAAGAACTTCCTCGTGGCTACCAGGACTACTATGGTGGATCCTACTTGATGAACTTCAAGGACTCTCCAAAGAACACCATGGCGGCTTCTTCGAGCTCTACGCCCATGCAGAATGTCATCAAGCTGGACTCACCGCAGAAGGAGGAGCTCTTGACAGGCAAGAAAGTCCGCTTCGAGGACAAGATCCAAACAACGGAGGCTGATGAGAAGGTCAACAAGACTTTGAACTTTCCAGAGATTGCCACAGAGAACCACGACCTCTACCACGTCGTTCGTGGCCAAAGAGTTTGTGGCCTACTTGTAGATCCAGGTGCCGCCAGTGGACTTGTGGGAACCGAGACACTTCGGGAGCTCATGGAGGCGATTCCTCAAGCCGACCACCACAAGATCACCTGGGGCCCATCGACTACTTCAGTCACTGGCATTTCTGGTCAGAGTGATTCAACTTTGGCCCGCATCAGCCTGCCGATCGACATCAACAACGACGCTCCTGCGAGCTACACAGCCGACCTGATCGGTGGCCAAGGATCTCTATGTCCTGCCCTCTTGCCGAGCACTTCGCTGCGACAGATGCGCTCTGCAGTCTTCACAGAATGGTTTGACAACGGTGATGGCATGATGGCTTGCTCTCCCAATGGACTTCGACTTGACCATCCTGATGCCAATTTGGTGATCATGCGCATCGTCCTCACAGAGAGCGGCCACTACATCATACCCATCAACCAGCAGAGCGAGTATGACATCAGCGATGATGACAAGATCAACATCAAGAAGATGCTCCAGGGAAACTCAAAGCCCTACCAAACGACAACACTGGAGCAGACTGGAAACAACATCGACGACACAGAGAACCTTCTCAATGGCGACAAGAACCAGATTCCTTGCGACTCCCAAGACAAGCTTCAATTTGCAACTGACGAAGCAGCTGGCAACTTGATCCACGATGGACTTCGAATGGATCCTGTCTCCACTGGACTTTCCGATGGACTTCGAGGAGACTTGAAACAAGTTGCCACTGATGAGAAGCCGATCCAGGTCCTCTTTGGGAAAGACTACAACATCGACTACGATGAGTCCACCACGGAGTATGCTGGTGACATCTTTCCTGGGCATAGAAGATGGCAAACTTCGCTACTTGCAGAAGATGTACAAGGCCATCCCAGAAGAATTCTACTCCAAGCAGAAGGAGGTCCCTGTCACTCCATGCAACGCCCGTTCATGGGCCAAGAAGCAGAAGGGCAAGAAGTTCCACTTCTGGGAATGGTGCTCAGGCTCTGGACGCCTCAGCCTACTTGCACTTCTTTCTGGACTTTGTGTGCTTTTCCCAATCGACTATCGATATGGCTGGGATCTTGGATTGCCTGAACATCAACGCATCATCTACGAGGTCGAGCCGGACATTGGCGGTGGACCTGATGTGCTGTTCTACAGCCCGACATGTCGTCCCTGGTCGATCTCCTCAACCAAACGTGACCTGGACCAGACGCAGCGCGAGAGAGCTGCTGAGATGCCCACCATCGACTACATCAAGAAGAAGTTCAAGAGACGATCCAAAGAAAAGCAAGGCAACGTGCTTGAACAACCATGGTCCAGTGCACTTTGGAGCCAATTGGAAGATCTTCCTGGTGAACGCTTCAGGACCGACCAATGTCGATACCGAGCTCAAGACGAAGAAGGCAATCCCATCCTGAAGCCAACTGGCTTCCAAGCTGACTTTCATCTACGACAAGCTGTCTCGAGATGCAATGGTCATCATGGCCGAAAACATGGATGGCTACAAGGTGCTGTCGCTGGCATGAACCGCACAACGATGGCAGCTGTCTATCCTGAGCAACTTTGCCGAGCACTCATACGAGATGTGAAGAAGTTTCTCTCCTACAAGAACACTGTGGAGGACTACTACAAGTGCCAACGTTGCTCTATGGGCAGAGCTGCAACAGCTGACATGGAACACTCGTTCCTTCCTGGTGAATGCCGCTACGGCAAATGGCCTGAGGGAGAAGGACCTCGTGAACGGAAACGACTAGAACGAGAACAACAAGATCAGGACAACATCTTTGAGAACTTCCGCAAAGAGGCACTGAGAAATCCCAAGGTCATGCAAGGAAAGCTGGCAGCTCACCCAAGCATCTCCTTCGACAGCGAGCAAACTGCGATCCTCAAGATGTGCATCATCAACTTGCTGTCTTCAGCTGTGGACAAGTTCGACAAGACTGAGAAGAAGAAGGATGACCAAAGCTATGTGCATTGGCTGGAAGATCCTACCTCACTTGGATGGCTTCAGCGAATCCTCAAGGACTACATGAGAGTTCAAGGTGCCATGGCATGTCTTCAACCTTGGAGCACACCAACTCCTGAGCCTCAACTTTCAGTTGATGAAGCCCCACTTCGACTACTTCTTCGAGGCTCCATCGAAAGTTGGAAGATTGGACAAGTTGAAGACCTTCGCACTTTGTCGCTCAGCCAATGGCACGAACCCATTGAGTTGGATGAGGACTGGCTCATTGCCTTCTTTGGTGCTGACCCAGAAGGTGAACCAACTACATCCTCTTCTGCGTCTTCCATCAAGGCCATCAAGGACAAGGATGCCGATGATGATCCTGGTGGAGAACTTGCTCTACTACCACAACCTGAACTTGAAGAAGAAGCAGCTGAAGAACCTGCACATCATCCTGGATCACTACGACCCATCTTCGACTTCCGACGAGTCTTTGCCAGACTCCCACGTCTTGCTGGAACCGATGACATCACAGCAAAGAGACTCATCCTGGGACTTCATGAACGACTTTGGCACGCTGGGACACAGGACGTCAAGAACATCCTGATCAGATACGGCATGCCTCACGCTGTGTGGCGACTGACTGGTGATGCAGTTTCATCTTGCAGGATATGCCGCAAGTTCTCACGTGCTGGACGACGTCCTCAATTCAAAGGAGCCAACCTCAGCATGCAGTTCAACGAGATGGTCCAAGCCGATCTCTACAACTATGATGGCGAAACCTTCCTCCTGGTCATTGATGAAGCAACCAGATACAAAGTAGCAACCAAGTGTGAAAGCCGTGAGCTGAAACACATCTTGGGCGCTCTGATGAGGTGCTGGATTCGCTACTTTGGCCCGATGAGGACACTGGTTTCAGATCAAGAGACGGCTTTGATGACTGTCCATGCTGGAGTTGAACTTCAACGACTTGGCATTGCACGACAGCCTGGTGGAACCACATCCAAACTACAAGGACAACAACATACTGCCACAGGACTTGTCGAGAAGCACATCGACCTGACCAAGCTCACGATGGCAAAGATCCAGGCCGAAGCTGCAAGATGGGGCCTGGAGATAGAGGGCGAAGAGCTGGCTTGCGAAGCCTGTATGGCTGCAAACACAATCTTCAATGTGGGAGGCTACTCGCCGGTGACGATGCTGTTTGGCGTCCTCCCAAGAGGCTACTTGGAACCTGAAGAACCTCTACAAGGAGATGAGGTTTCCCCTGATGAATCAGCCTTTGAGAGGTCCCTTCGTCTACGACAAGTTGCCCTTCAAGCCAGCCAAGCCGCCATCTTGGAGTCACGAATCTCCAGAGCCAACAGGTCCAGACCTCAACGACTGCCTGTGGAAGAGATGATCCCTGGAACCACCAAAGTGGAGCTCTTCAGAGATGATGGAGGTGGATATGGTTGGAGAGGCCCTGCAACAGTACTCCAAATCAATGAAGCTGCAGGCACTGCGATTGTGGAGTTTCAGCAGAGGCCCTACCTGGTTGGACTACGTCACCTTCGACCTCTACGGGAAACCTATTTGCAGTTCCTCAATGAAGCCTCAACTACAACTTCAAAAGAAGCTGAACAGGCTCTACTACGCATGAAGATGATTGTGGAGGACTGCACGCCCTACAAGCCAAACACCATGGGCGAGATCTTGAAGATCGAGAACGGTGAGAACAAGATGCTACGCTTCCCCAAAGAAGATAGCGACACAGTCAACCAGATGCTCAAAGATGCCAAGACATTCCTGGACTTCCACTACAAGCATGTAGCCTTTCATGGAGTGTGCTTCGGAAAAGGCATGAAGACCATTTTGGTGCCCAAGTTCTCGAAAGGAACATTGATCACCTGGTCTGAAGGAATTGTCGGCATCGCTGTGACTGAGCACAACGTGGACTCCAACATCCACATCAAGGAGCTCTTTGTCAAGAACATCGACAAGCTCTGTCATCTCTATCTCTACGGCTATGTGCAGTACCAGACAGAGGACTCATGGAGCACAGCAAGAATCTCAAGACCACCTGTGGTCAAAGATCAACCAGACCAACCTGATGACGATTCAATGTCTACTACCAGTTCACCTGAACCTCAACCAGAAGAAGAGCGAAGTCTGAAACGTGGCGGTCCTGAGACCAGAACTGTGACTTTGGCTCCTGAACTGAAGCGACAGAAGCTCCACATGAGCTCTCTTTGGTGGATGCTACAACGACCAAAGAAGATTCGACTTCCTCCTGATGACATCTGGTTTGAGGATCAACATCGGTGGACGCAAAAGAAACTACTTTCTCTACCAGCTCAACATGATCAAGTACCTCAACGGCCTTTGCTTCACATGCACTGCCGCACTGAAGCTGACCTGAGAATCTACCTGTCTGATGGTGCCATCTACCGTGTGGATGAGGACACAGACGTGTTGGATGAAGCCAAGGTCCTACAACATTGGCCAGACTTTGAAGCTAGCGACAAAGCTGAGCTCAAGCAATTCATCGACGAGAAGGTCTTTCGAAAAGTTCCTCTTGATGAACTACCACAAGGCACAGCCCTGGTTGATGCTACATGGGTCAGAAAGTTCAAGCGCACAGCCAACAAAACCCTCAAAGCCAAGAGCAGACTCTGTGCACGTGGCTTCCTGGATCCTCAGAAAGAGGAATTACCCACGAGATCAACGACGGCTACAAGACTGAGCCAGAGGTTGGTGCTTTCTGTTGCTGCAACACATTCCTTCTCCGTGAGATCCTGGGATGTGAGTGGCGCTTTCTTGAAGGGCCTGACGTTCAAGCGCATCCAAGAGATCCTCCAGAAGAAGGGCATTGCAGTTCCTGACAGGAAAGTTGCCATCATTCCTCCACCGAATGTTTGGAGACATCTGGCTGAGTTTGACCCACAGTTCTTTGTGGCCGAAGGCGATGAAAACCGATGGGCATTGCTTTGTGAGAAGCCTTCCTATGGACTGGTGGATGCCCCTTTGGCATGGCAGCTATCGCTCTTTGAAACTTTGGAAGAAGGTGGCTGCTGTCAATCCCTTTTGGATGAAAACATGTGGCACAAGAAATGTCCGAAGACTGGCAAGCTGCAAGGAGTTCTGACAACACATGTGGATGACATTGCAGTTGCCGCCACAGACCAGTTCCTCACCGAGCAGTACAAGTTTCTTTCTGACAGGTTTGGCAAGATCAGTGAAGAGAAGCCACCATTTCAGCATTGCGGCGCTCGATACTCCCAAACTGGTTCCACCTTTCAGATCGACCAGCAGGAGTTCATCGACTCTATGAAGATCATGGACTTGAAGGATCTTGGAACAGATATGAACCGCCTGCTGAACCCAAAGGAAACCTCTATGTTCAGAAGTGTTTTGGGTGGCCTGCTTTGGATCACGGCAACTCGCCTTGACCTTGTCGCAGAGATTGGCGTCTTGCAGTCACGTGTGACGAAGGCGACTGTTCAGGACATGCACATGGCCAACGGCATTGTCAAGAAAGCCAAGATGATCCAGTACAAGGGCCTCGGAATCACCTTCAAGCATTTCTCTACCTCAACACCTTGGAGATTGGTGGCTGTCCATGATGCATCATCTGCATCGAAGGGACGAGCATATTCCCAAGAGGGAATCATGATCCTGTTGATGAAGGACCACCTCAACCTGGACTTACGAGTTCACTCCATCACTGGACTGGAAGTGAGTGAAGAGATGTTTGGTGGAGAAGCTCACATACTATTTGCTCATGGAGCTCGGGCGAAGCGCATCAGCTACTCGACTTCACACTCCGAAACCTTGGCAGCCATATCTGGTTTGGAAACGGCTTCCTTGGTGGCGCTACGCCTTGCTGAGTTGCTCTCCCCGATCAAGAAACCTTCTCTACAACAACTTGCTGCTCTTCAAGAAGCTGGAGTACCCTTCTTGCCTGTGGATGCCATGACAGACTGCAAGGACCTGTACTCCTTGACCACAGGCCGAACAGCCTTGCCTCAGGACAAGTCCCAGAGGGTGTACATCCTGGCGCACCGAGAGGCGTGACTTTGCGGCCGACTTCGTTGGATCATCCTGGTGCCGACCCAGTCAATGGTGGCAGATGATGAGTCGTCAACTACTGCATCTACTATCGACTGGCCTGGTGATCTTTCGAAACGAAGATGGACATCCTTTGGAAGCACGACGGCTACCTCCTGTCATCGACTTCACGGAGGACGACTTGGTGGAAGGTGATGAGAAATGGATTCATCATCTGATGACTCCCAACGACATCAAGATGGTGCAGCACTATACTAATTACATCCAGACCTATGACATCATCGAGCTCTACACCATGGACTTCCTCTACAAGCTTCTGGCTTTTGGCGGCTCTATGTGCAGCTCAACTTGGACGTGGAAAAGCTCAAGGAGAACAGTGCCCTGTGGAAGAGGGCGAAGAATTCAACACACAGAAGGTCATCATCTATGTGATGACCGCCATTTGCATTGTGATGAGCATTGCCATTTTTCACTTGTGGCAATGTGTGAAGAGGATGGCTATGTTTCTGAACGAAGAGACCATCCGCATGGTGCAGCCGCTCTCCCGAGCAGATCTGGTGAATCGCATGATGGCAGCCGAGAACAACGTCCTCGAGCTCCAGATCCAACTGAATGACAACATGCGGGACATTGACATCCTCTACAGAACTTTGCGGCGGCGTGCTGGACCTCATCCTGAAGAACCTTCGGCAAACAGGCCAAGACACCGAGACCGACGACCTGCTGAAGCAGAACCAGAGGGCGAGCTTGGTTCCCGTGAACAAGAACCAGAGATCGAGCGCGCCTTCAATGAGACGGCTTCAAGATCTCGAGATGGTGGAAGTGATGAAGAACGAGGAGAAGATTCAGGACGTGGCCCTTCCGAGATGATGGACAATGCGTCAATTGATGAAGTGACGCACGACATGGATGAGCACCAGAGGCGCCATCGCAGAATGCGGAACAGACTCCACATTATGCACGTGGAGGCGAACAACATGGAGGTCTACCTCTACACCTTGGTCCAGCAGCATGGCCCTGACTACGTGGTTCCGATGTTGGACATCATGAACCTCTATGAAGAACATGCTCCGAGCATTGAAGCTCCAGGAGACTACAGAGCTCAGGAAAACTTCATGCACCAACAGCTTCCTGACGGAACCTGGCGCTTCATGCTGAACGAGTTCTCCGAAGAGTTTGGCGACAACGAGAACCACTTCGTGTCGCAGTTGGGCCTCTATGGATTCAGAAATCGCAGAATCATCCTGCGAGAGAACGAAGACCTGACAACCCGCGAACGAGAAGACCAGGTGGAGAATTTGTATAGCCATTTTCGACTGTATGACGGCTAAAACAGCCAACCATACATATGGCAGCCCATACGCAAAACTCCAACACAGGAGCAGACTGGAATTTTGTCAGTCTGTGCATTGGGACAATTTCACATGTTCACCTACAGGTGCACCTTTTATGCCCGAATCAGTAAAAGAGCTACTGTTTTCAATTTATATAATGCTTAAGATACTGAAATATCTTCATCGATATGTATTTCTTGCAGGTACTTTAAGTTACAGCGTGATAGAAGATAGTGGCCACTGGGTCACGGTTCGCCAGCAAGGCTTTGATGGAAATATTGTCATAACTTGTGGCGCATAGACATAGTCAATTTGGACATCAACCTTTCTCTACATCTCTGTGAGGAAATACATGGTTTTATCTGACAAATATTGCGCTCCTTTCAAACCAAACAATTGCATCACAGTGTTGGAACCCAGCAAGCGATGCTGCAACGGGCAACGGTTGAAATGTCAACTCATTTTGTCACAGTTTGATCGTCAGAAGCCGGCCCTCAGTTTATAGCAATTCCCAGGTAGACAAGTATTTCCAGGATGGTGTAGATGATTGTAGATGATGTTTCTTCCATTATTTCATATTATTTCCAGGTGTCCAACTTTTATATCTATTTTGGGGTTGCTGGAGCTCCATCTTGTTGTATTTATATCTACTTTTATATCTATTTTAGGTGTCCATGTTGGAGCTCCATCTTGTTCTTCTCAACGGGGACGTGCTGGACACTGTATTTATTGGGTGATACCCGACCAAGCGCGGGTGTTGTCTCAGGAACAGGAATATCTGGGAAGCTAGCACCTTGTTGAAAATGCAGAGCCTCGGCCAAAACCAGGCGATTTCATCAAAATCAAAAGTTTGTCAATCATGGATAAAACTACTAGGTTGACAGTTGACAGCACCTGTATTTTGAAGAGAATATATATGTATTATGTATGTATGTATATATATATATATATGTAATTATATGTATCATGTATATCCGACATTAGACCATACAACCATGGATTCAACAAAAACGTAGCAGTTCCACAACCACTGTTTTCATACCTTCCATGGCCCCACTCCTGTGAAGAAACTGAAGAAATGCGGTACTTGTACAGAAAGGTGCCTGGTCAATGGCTTCAAGATTGTGTTTTTGTCCGTGCTTTCTGGTAATGTTGGTAAAACAATGCCGTTTGCACCATCCCCCATATCACCATAAATAGTATAAACCATTTCCAAATTGGTGTTTTTTTTGTTTACCCCCATTCGTGTGATTCAATGAATTAGTGATCCACAAGTTGAGCATGTTGGGATCATTCAACCAGACCTTGCAACTCGACCCGGCAATCAAACATGGCAATGGACAACCCCCATTTCATCCATTCATCCCATTTCTATTCTTGTCTCCACTAAAACCCTCCATTTGTTTCAGGAATTTCCAGCTATGTAGACATGAGTACAGAAGGGTAATCCTTTCTTTGTCGCTCTGCAAGGAGTTTTGTCGTCGCTGTTCTGTTGACACAAGTCCGGAGCGAGCATCTTGGTGTCTCTATCCGTGGCCGACTAGGAACAGACTCGGTTGAGATACGAGAATCATGGGGGGGTTCACCAAGGTGATTGTAGTGCGCTTGGAGCATCGCACCGAGAATTTGAGCTTAAGCTACGTAGTTTGTCCCTGTGGGAATCCCTAAGCTGTAGAACCTACCTCAAGATTTCCGACTGTGGGTCTAAAGATGGCTTCTTTTGCATTCGAACATGTTGCAGATTCCCCTATGTTGACTCTTCATGATTGTTCCAATTGATTGGCAAAACATTCTACCTAATTATGCAGGCAACACTTCTGGATACAGTCTGTAGCTACGGCTTACGTTGCAGGTATATTTCATCTAAACGCATACAACTATCTATTAATTACATAAGTAAAGTGCTCAGCAATCCCACAATCCATTATCACGTAGCATTGTATGTATCATGAATATAGTAACACAGTAACATAATATAGATAGATATTATGTATACTAATACATATTATATATATAGATGATAGACCATGTTGCTTATGGCTCTGGTGTTCATGGTATAGCGCCCGAGGCCGCTCCAGCTGTGCCCTCAGCCCTTGACGCTGACATCGCTTCCATCAGGGCGATGTATGGATCGCCATGGCTGGGATCGGTGGACCTGGACCGTGCTGCTCGCAGAGGTTAGCTGCTGGGCTGCAGATGATTTTAGTGGATGATTTTTTTTCGGAGCGGCTATGACTTCATTGAGCCATAAAAACGAGCCCTATGCCATCTCATGAAATACTTGTTGGTTGATAGATTTACCTACTATGGGTTATCAGAATACCCAAAAACAAAAAGTAGCAGAGGTCCCTGTATTGACATATTAACCAATCAACCAGTTTATTTTAATGGCTCAATTGATGATTCTCAGAAAATTTGTTTCTTTATTTTGTGTGAGCTATCCGTTTTAAGGGGATATGGACCCAGAACAGGTGTCACTTTGCAGGATTAACACATATTGCACCACCATCACCACTGATTTTAAGCTGAGCTGGAGCCAACGATTTGATGGGTTGCAGATGGTTACATTGATTCATCAGTTGGGATTCATCAAATGAAAATACATGGACACATCATTGGGGATTTCACCAACTAACTGCCCGGATTTCAGGGATTGAAAGAAGTTGCAGTATCGGCACCTGGCAAGTCGCTGTTTCTCGAACTTCAATTGCCAGTTTCAATGTTGGTGTCCTTCTTTTGACGTACGTCAAGTGTCAAGTGCCTGTTCGGTCCCGAAAACTCGCTTGCCCGGAGCGAGGCAATGGATGGTTGTCTGTGGCGATCTTGACACGCCTGAGCGCGATCGCAAAGTTTGTCTGCAAAGCGGCATGTGCGCCCAGCCTCTATGTGGCCTATTGCTTTCTTGGTGCCTTGGCGGGGAACATGGGACGAGAAAAACCATCGAAATAAAATAAGACACTAATATCTACGGGGGCTGGTAGATAGACTATATATGTATATAATTTATATATGATATATATATATATATATGTATATGTATATACAATCTATATGATACTATATATATATGAATATAATTTATATATGATATATATATTATTTATAATATATGTATATATATGTAATTATAGTAACTATATATATATTATGAAATATGTTTATATGTATATCATATCATATTATATTATATTATATTATATTATACTATATTATATTATATTATTATGCAATATATTATCTATTTTATTATCCGATATATTATTATATTATGTTATACTATATTATATTTTACAATATATTATATATTATATTATATTTTATTTTATTAGATTATGTTGTGTTATGTTTTCCATATCAGATCATACCATATCCACAATGATCGTGGAGTTTGAAAAGGGTAACCTTATCGGGGTCGCTGCCAGCGGCTCCGAGTCTCTCCCTCAGCCAAAGGTGTGGAACCAATCGATACAGATCTAGACGGTAGTAAACAACATATCCCATGATTGTTGTTAGCATGCTGTTGGCTTCTAAAAACAACTGCTCATATGTTAACCAACTAACTTCGTCGTGACCCTGGACATAGAGTCCCAATTGTTTTCATGCCAGATTTTGCTTCTATGAAGCTTTAGAGGAGAGAATCCCATAATATCCCATATCTATTGTTTTATGCACAACACTAGATGTTTTCCGAAATATGCTACGTTTGGCAGATTTTAATGATATCAATTGACCTTCAATCCACACCAGGTTGGAACCAGTTCAAACCCCAGTTGTTCGCCTCCGTTTTGATCATGACCATCTCCATCGTTCTTTACGCCAAAGAATCCATCGAACTTCTCTTGCGCTTCGTGCGGCTACGGCTGGGTTGTGCTGCGCCGGCTCCTGGGCGTTGACGACTTCTCGGTTTGGATACCTCAAGGGGTTTGTCAATTGGGGATTTACCCACGAACTACGCGTGATTTTGTGGGAAAATGGAGGAAGAATGTGATGAACCACTGGATGGAAGGGGGTGCCCGATTTTTTGGACAAAGTCACACATGATTTGCAGAAGTAGTGTGTGCATGCATAGATGAAACATGATTATCATGATTGTGAGTATCCATATAGTTGATACCCTTAAATGTTGATAAGATTGAGGGTGGTACCCCGTATGTTTGTACCCTTTTTACAAGCAAGAGTAAGAGGTAATCTGATAATCTTGCAAGATGGTACGAAACGGAACCCCACAAAAAACTGGTTTACTCAGTTTACTCCAGTTGCGGAATGGATCATAAAGACTTCGCTCGCAGAGATGGTGAAGAATTGAAGAATCGTGCACCGGCGGTTGATTTGAAGACACGTACTGTAGACTAGTGGGCCACTAGTGGGGCCACTGAGAATGATGTGGGTTGTGGTCTGAAAATGGGGTTATATCTACCTTCTCAAGTGGCAAGGGGATATGCCATGTGTATAAATCAAACATGATAATAGGTGATACCGCATTTTCAGACAAGCGCATGTCTTTTGCCAACAGATTCCGACATATCCTTCCATCAAAGCGTGACAGGAGCTTGGCATGTCGTTTCAAGCTGTACTAAGATGTACTAAGATGTATCATTCTGTCCACCCTGCATCCCTCACAACCTATCTCTGTACCATTGGTTTATTTTTCTCCACAGTGCCTGGGATAGCATTGAGGAGAAGAAGTCCGAGAGTCATCTCTGGACTGCAGGATATAGCAAGCCGGGCAAGCCGCGCCGTTTGGAGGGTGTTAAGGAAGCGCCTTAACACCTTGGGAGTGTCTCAAAACAGCTGGCATGATCAAGTTGCTTGTGGCCCTTGAAACTCATTGGTTTTCAGCTTTTTAATAATTCTTAAATGACTAAAGCAATCGACAAATACACAACCAAAGTTATTCAAATTTTCAGGTCTTACTCAAAGTGACTGGTTACCTTATGTTACCTTTAACTGTGAGATTCGGAAAAATTTGAGACAGATCCTGCGAGTAGGGGAGCAGCTACAGCTTTCAAATGTACGCCCCGCGCAAAAAAAAACGAAACGGTCCTGCAATGTGGCGCTGTTCCCAGGCCGAGTCTCACATGGAGATGGGATTATGAGTTATTACACTGCGAATGAGACTAGTGACGAGTGATATTCATGGTATTTCATGGTAATAATGGTGTTAATGACAACCATGAATATCATCATAATAGTCATAGTCACAGTCATTCATAGTCATAATGGGCTATCTCGGTCAAAATAGGAACACATGGTGCTGAACCCTTTGGAAATTGGGTGGTACCCCATTGACACCCAGATCCATACATAGTAGGGTTTTACATGGTTTTACCATGTGTTACCTTGTTTTTCTCTTATTTTGAGTCGAAGGTATCTGTTGAGTCCAATGAGTAGAAAACAATTACCATCGGCCTGGTCATTTTAGTGCCGCGCGCGATACCGACCATCCCGCATTCCAATTAGGAAGTGGCTCGTAATCCACATATTATATCATATTATATATAATATACATATATATATAATATACATATATATATATAATATACATATATATATATGCATATATATTATATATGTATACATATATGTATATATATGTATATACATCTATGTAGCAGCCACCGAAGAAGCAGAATGTGAACCCCACAAAGTCACGAGGATATAGAGGTTAATTCATGTTCTGACTATTTTGGGTGGTTACTACTTTTATGTATGTCTATAACGTAGAATATATGAACATACGTACATATATATATATATATTGTACATACCATATATAGCATATATGTGTATTATATATATATATATACATATTCTATATTCAATTATAATATGCTCATACACACCCAAATGGTTTGCCATGTTTCCACATGAACGTTTTGCAGATGTCAGGCAAAATGGTATGGAGCACCAGCGAAGCTCTTCTGCGCGCCAAAGAGCAAGGTGCTTCTTTTGCTATAATTTGGATGTATATAGATAATACAAGTAGCTTAGATCAGTTTAGTATGCTTTGTGTTAACCGCTATTATGAAATGATCAGGTCCCAAAAAAGTGGCCGCTTTGATAGTGAAAACGATCCACTCTGTGTGCCCATAATAAGGTAATCCATGTTGGTTGGCCGAAACTAACTGTGAACCAACTCGTTGTCAAATCCGTATCGAATGGTTGTGAATGGGTGTTGGGGTGCAGACGAGGCATATTTTATGTGGTAAGCTTCGTGACGAAATATGTACTGTATAGTATGTGTATATATGTTGTCGTGTATGTGTATATATATATATATATACATGCACACACATCATGGAGATGCATACCCCCCACGCAACAACGTAAAGGGGTCAACAGTAGTGACCCCCAAAGAATGGATGGTTTCAGCTCCTACAGATAGCCGAGAGTGAGTGGGGGTTTGAGTTGGCGCATACGAGTTGCCAACTCTGAGGGATCATCCCTTGTTTCTGAGGGATAATAACTTGCCCACAATGGCTTTCTTGGGCCTTCATCTCTATCACTAAGTATATGTTGTTTTGTTCACAATGTACAGCCCATCAATCATCATCAATCTAACTAAGGATGTTCCATACATAACTGGATGGACGTAGATAAAGGTCACGCGTGTGGTGTTTTCGCATTTATCCCATGAATCCAACTGGGATATTCTTCATTGCTACACTCCCTGTGTAATTGGGCGATCAAAGAAATACCCAGTAATATATGCCATATGTATAAAACCTAGATATTGCATACATCAGCCACATATTTCATTTATATATATATAATTGTTACACATCCCCAAAAACATCCCAAACATAGAGCATATACATCCCATCTATATGCATATATGCTATATATATATATGCTATATATATATGCTATATAGATATATCATATTTATATATATATTATGATATCATATATATATATATTATGATATTATATATAATCATATTTATATATTACATATGCTGCATTTCATATCAGTTGCACTTCACATGTCAGCATTTCATTTGACATTCAATTTTTGTGCATTTCATTTTGCGAAGGGCCACATTATCAATAGCTGCCCTTTGGATCAATCCCCAATCGAGCAGAAGGTAGAAAAACCTGAGGAGCTGCTGCGCTGCACGGGTCATAGCTTGGACGATATCATCGCCAGGTTATGAGCCCAAGACCCTGAGGCTCCAGCGCTATGGACATCCGAAGAAGGGCTACCCAAAGGGAAATGGAACAAGGGATGCAGGAGATGCAGTTAGCCCAAAAACGAATGGAAGAAGAAAGTAAACAAAGGGGTGAAGAGGCCATAGAAGATGGAAGGATAGAAGAAAGGGATGAAGCAGCTAGTAGTTTAGAGGATGAGGCGAAGAAAGGTGAAGGTGTTTTGGTTTTGAGTAGTGCCACTCCTGACCAACCACAGGGTCAGCCTGTCTCCCTCCGTCCAGCAGTTCCAGCAACTCCGCCGCCTTCACAGCCACCTCAGAGCTTTTCGAAGAGTGCATCGGCATCAGAAAGGCCGACTCCAGCTTTGACGGCAAGGCAAAGTGAAGAGAAGAGGGCAGGAGAGGGTGGAAACCAGGGTTTAGAAGGGGAAGAAAGGGTTCAAGATCCTAGTGTGAGAGGCTTCGCCAGTTCCTCTCCCAATGGCTTAGCTGCAACCCCTCAAGATGTGAAGAAATCAGAATTTGAAATGGCCTATACTCCTCTTTTTACTCCTGAACAAGTCCAGCAAATGACCCAGCTTCAGCAGCGAACTCCATGGCTGTATGGCATGACAGGGACGGGATTCACGCCGTCGATCCCGAGACCAGTTCTTGGAATCTGAAGAAAGAAGGTTCAACGAAGAGCTTTTGGAAAGGGATAGGCAGTTGGCGATGTTGCAGAATAGAATGGTTGTAGAACAAAGTGAAAGAGAAGAGATCAAACGACTTTTGGTCTCTGTCCTGAATGAGAATCAGAAGTTGAAAGAAAGGATTCTAGCTGTAGAATCACAACCTGCAGAACCTGAGGCGCGTTTTGCAACTCCAGATAGCATCTCCAAGGACGGAAGTGGTCAAGCTGAGCGAAGTTTTGGCATAGAAACCACTCGTTTGCAAGGGATGAACCTGGAGAAGGTTTTCGGTAAGGAGGCTGCAAGACCCCCAAAAGAGGACGGGTCAGTTGGCCAGCAAGTTTTCCCTGAGGCTGTGAGACCCCCAAGGATCGAAAGTTCAAATGGTGATTGTGGCGAAGCTTGGAAGAAAGGTGAAAGATTTGTGGATGGGCCCAGAGGCCAACAAGAAAGAAGTCGAGAAGAAGACTTCAACTCAAAGACTATGGAATTCATGTTCCTGATGATGCAGTCGATGAGAGACCTGCAGCAGAAGATCAGCGATGGAAAGAATGATGAAGGAGCGGTGATGGGAGTGGAGGTGGTTCGCTCGGGTGCTCCAGATTTGCCCGATCTGATGCCTTGGACGTCTGGGACTGGGCCACTTGAACTTGGTGATTGGATGTTGCTCTTGAATCCCATCATCTCTGACCTCACCACCTCTTCTCAAGAGTGGTGGGAAATCATGACACAGGAGGTGGAAGCTTGGTATCAGCGGCATGTTTCATTGAGCCCCCTTGATCGACTGAATCATGGCTTTGCTGCCCCTGCTTCTCTACAACAACCTCGTTGGCAGCGATTGGAAAGGCGGGTTTCAACTATGATCATGAAGGCCATCCCAGAATCTTGTTGCGAAGAACTGGTGGCAGCGAGAAGAATGGATGTTTTTGGTGTGCTCACATACTTGTTCACAACTTACTCACCAGGTGGTGTAGCAGAGAAACAGACCCTGCTCAAAAGCTTGGAGGACCCGGCAGAAATCACTTCAGTTCAAGAAGCACCTGGAGCGATCCGCAAATGGATGAGATGGCGCCGTCGTGCCAAAGAAGTCGGCGCTGTGGAGCCGGACCCAGCTTTGTTGCTCAAGGGCCTCAACAAGATGACCCGTCGGGTGCTCGAATCGCATCGCGACATCCAGTTCCGTGTCTCTCTTGTCCGGAACACCCTGTCGGTGGACACAACTCCAACTTCATCTTCGGTGGACCAACTTGCTGCACATCTTCTTGCTGAACTTGAACAATGTGCGATGACTGACAAGAGATCAATAACCACAACGGCGAAGAAGGAGGTAGAACTTCCGAAGCTGAAGAACATGGAGGCAGAGGCAGGAGAGAAGGGCAAGGGAAAGGGAAGAGACAGAGAAAAGAATGATGAAGAGAAGTCCAAACAGAAATGCAGGTATTACCTGACTGAAGGTGGATGCAGAAAAGGCCGCGAGTGTACGTGGTCGCATGAACAGCGAGACGAATTGAGGAGATGCTACGTGTGCGGCAGCTCACAACACTTAGCACCAAGCTGCACACGACCGAAATCGTCTTCAACCTCCCCAGAAAAGTCTGCCCCAAAAGCGAAGCAGCTGAAGACTGAGGAAGAGAAGGTTGGAGGCAAGAAAGAATCTGAAGAAGCAGCGGCATCGACACAAGATTCCGCTATGAAAGACTTGATAGATGAGGCGAGTATAGGTGCTGAAAAGCATCTCAGGAGCTCCATCTTCATCGGCGTCTTCTGCCAGCTCTGGATTGGCCAAGGACTCAGAAGGAAAAGAAGATTTGATGGAAAGACTTCAACAGCAGTTGAACTCCCTGAGGCAGAAACAAAAAGTTCTCAGGCTTCAAAAGATGGCGACAGGAGATCAAGCTGGTCTCATTGACTCTGGTGCGACACATCCTCTTCGACCACAGAAAAACGGAGAGGTGACAGCTGGCTTCCCAGTCGTGGGAGTCTCTTTGGCAGATGGAAGAAGGATTCAATTGAAGATGTCACCTGGAGGAGCGATGATCTCTCCTGACCCAATGGTGGAACCGATAGTTCCGATGGGCCCCCTTGCAGAAGTTCTTGGGTGCGAGATTGCATGGAAGGATGGAAAGCTCTCCATACGACATCCACTACGAGGTGATTTGAAAGTTTCGCAGCACAATGGCTGCCCTCAAGTCAGTCGTCAACTGGCTTTGGACCTGATCTCAGAATTGGAAGATGCAAATCAAGGTTTGAAGAGAGGTCTTGAGATGAGCGATGAATTTGAATGGCTGCAAGCCATGGTCAAAGCCCATCCTGTTCTCGCTCAACTACCTGATCACATCAAAGAGCGACTTGCAGTGCAACCAGGTGATTGGAATGGTCTTCCTTGCAATCGGAGATGGAGGAGGGCTATGCAAAGAGATGGACTGCTTTTACATCTCTACGCTGGAGAAGATTCAGGCTTCACGTTTGGAAAGGCCTGGAAACAGTGTGGGGGAGAAGAAAGAATTTTGTTGGAAGTAGATGTTAAAAGAGGGAGCCAACATGACATGATTCCTGACGACGGCATCTACGCGTCTTTGATCACTGCAGCCATCCAGGGCAAGATCTTGGGAATTGCGGGCGGGCCAAACTGCCGCTCTCGCAGTGTCTTGAGGCACTATGAGATTCCTGGATGTGATACTGCACCTCGGCCTGTCAGAGCATGGAAAGGAGAGGAGTATGGGAAGAAAGATTTGAGTGAAAAAGAGAAGAAAATGGTGGAAGAGGATGACATCCTTTTGTGGCGTCAAATTTTTCTTTTCATGATTGCAACATATGCTCGACGAGCTCGAGGGCATGATCATCCACTGGCTTTTGTGCTTGAGCAGCCATCTTCACCACGAGAGTACAAGCCTGAAGTTGTCTCATTTTGGGATCAATGGGAATGGCATGAAATTAAAAAGGAGTTTGAGTTGAAGGAGACGCACTTCACACAAAAGAGCTTGGGTGGGGAAGCCACGAAACCCACCACTTTGGGAACTTCACTTGATTTGGTTCCAGAAGATTTTCAAATCAAAGGTCCTGTTTGTCCTGGGGGAGTTCGATCGTCAAAAGATCTTGCTCGGTGGCCACCTGGTCTGATGCGGATGTTAGCTGTGGCCATCAAAGAACAGACCATGCAATCACATGCAAGGATTGCTCCTATGTCTTGGGAGGATCACATCAGATTTGGCCACGTTCCCTATCGCAAAGACTGCAAGACATGTCAGGAAACCCTTCAACAACAAGAACCTCATCGCCGAGCCCGGCATCTTCAAACTGGCACTTTGTCTCTGGATGTGGCTGGTCCTTTCACACCGCACGTTGGTTTTCGACTGGCGTTTTGGTGTGGCGTGTTCCAAAAGACTCTGACAAAATGCGCCAGCCACCAGATGAAGAACTCCAAGGAGAAGAACCAGCTATAGAAGAAGCTAGAGAAGCAGAAGCGGAAGAAAAAGAGGAGGCAGAAGTGCAGGTCGAAGAAGGTCAGGGGGAGCAGAGAGATGAGGAAAGAAGGGAAGATTTAGAAGAAAAAACGGAAGTTCGAATTTTTCGTCTGGCACTTCCCATGACCACCAAAACTGCGAGGGAAGTTTCATCCACTACCATGGACATGCTCATGAAGTTGAAGGTCGATGGATTTACAGTTGCCAAGATCCACACCGACAGAGGCCACGAGTTTTCTGGATCGTTTAGAAGATGGGCATCATCAAGAGGCATCATTTTGAGTCGCACTGCTGGCGATGACCCCAGAGCCAACGGCCGTGCAGAAGTGGCCGTCAAAGCCATCAAGACTCAGATCAGGCGAGTCTTGCACCATGCCAAGGTCCAAGCTGATTGGTGGCCTTGGGCTTTGCGATACATCAACGAAATCAACCGATGCGTTCGCCTCGACCAAGTTCCTTCTTTTCCACCCTTTTTGGAGGAGGTAAGAGTGAGGAAGAGGACATGGAGGAGGGGAAGTTTTGATCCGATGGTGGAACATGTCCGCTATCTGTGCCCATCAGTTGAAGAACATGGTCATTGGGTGTGGCAAGAAGGCGAGGCTCCAAGAATCGCCAAAGTTTTGATGAAACAGACTTCAGAGCCTGTACAACATGGTGTTTGGGTTGGCCTTGAAACCCAAATTTTGGATGATCTTTCAACACGAAGAAGGCTGAGGGAGAAAACAACAGTGAGAAGATTGGATGCGTCGATGGAAGCACAAGAAGAGGAGGAGACAGAGAAGTGGAAGGTCAAAGCTAGAATCAGAAGAATCATCGAAGAAGAGATGAGAGCGATGGTTGAAGATGATGAGGAAACAGCCATGGATGAGATGGCTGTGATTGGTAGACTGCGCAAAGCTGTGGAAAGTATGGAAGACTCCGAGGAGATCCTGCAGACCAAGATCATCTCACCGAAAGAAGTTTGGGAGCATTGGGAAGAATGGGAAGCCGCTGCAAAAAGCGAAATCAACTCTATGCTGGAAGAAAAAGAAGCATTGGAAGAAGTTTCAGAAGAGGAGGTAAAAGAAATAGAGAAGAGGTTGAAGGAGAAGGGCATCAAGTTTGAGTGCATCCCATCAAAGGTGGTGTACTCCAAAAAGCCCATTCCGGGTGGATCCAAACACAAGGTGAGATGGGTCATCTGTGGAAACTACGAGGAAAAAAGAGATGATGAACAGACCTACAGTGCAGGTGCTGATGCCACAGCTTTCAGACTCATGCTGTGGTTTGCTGCGAGGAACCAATGGCTGGGCATGTCATTGGACATCCGTACGGCTTTTTTGAACGCCGTCATTGACCAGGAGGATCAATCCAACTACATCCTGGTCGCTCCTCCTACCATCTTTGTCAAGAAAGGCTGCTTGCGACCTGGAACACTTTACAGGCCAAAAAGAGCGGTCTATGGGTTGAGAAGATCTCCAAGATTGTGGGGACTTTGCAGAGATAGCGAGATGAGAAGTTTTGAAGTAGAAGTAGAAAAGAAAGAAGGAGGAAAGATCAAGCTGCAGTTGAGGCAGCTGGATTCTGAGCCAAACCTTTGGCGTCTGGAAGAAGTTGGAAAAGAAGAAGGAAGCGAGCCAAGCATTCAGTATGGCTTGGTCATGACCTATGTAGACGACATTTTCATCACTGGCCCCCCTGAAGTCACCAGAGCGGTGGCACAGAAGTTCCAAGCGACTTGGACCACGTCAGAACCAGAAGTCGTGGGGGAGGAAGCCATTCGCTTCCTTGGCATGGAAGTGTCAACCTCAAAGAATGCCGAAGGTCGAGATGTTTGGCATGTCACCCAAGAATCCTTTGTCAAGGACCTGGTGAAACGGCAGGCCAAAGAAGTTCAGCCAAAGAAGATCCCAATCACTCGGGACCAAGCTCTGATGACTTTGGACCCAAGTCCACCAACTTTGGAGAAAGTCAGAAAATGTCAGAAAGTGGTAGGTGAACTGCTTTGGGTTCTGACGCGAACTCGTCCGGACCTCATGTACAGCATCTCAAGGCTGGGCTCCAACGTCACAAAAGCCACCAGCTCAGTTCTTGAGGCAGCTGATCAAGTTCAAGGATACCTTCTGAAAACTTGTGCAGAAGGGCTCCGCTACCAAGATGATGAGAAAGAACCAATCAAGATACAAGTTTTCTCAGATGTCAGCGATGCCCCCAACGATGAAGAATCTTTTGGATGTTTCATCATCACCTTGAATCGAGCTCCGATTTTTTGGAGAGCCGGCCGCCAACATTTGGTGACATTGTCAACTGCAGAGGCCGAATTGGCCGAACTGGTGGAGGCCATGACCGCCGGTGAGTCTGTGGCAGCCATTGTGGATGAGCTGATTGGATATGTGCCACGTGGAGCCTTCACTGACTCCCAGTCTGCATTGGCGATCATCACAGCGGATGGAGGCAACTGGCGCACGAGACACCTTAGAACTCGGGCGTCTTACGCTCGACAGACTGTGCTGTCTGGGCGATGGGTGATACACCATTCCCCGGGCGAATTTTTGACCGCCGACATCGGCACCAAACCTTTGTCTTCGAAACGTTTGGAGACGCTTCGAGAGATGATGATGATGGGAAGTCCACCAAAGAAAGAGGAGATCAAACAGGAGGAGAAAGATGAAGAACAGAAAGAAAAAGGTGAGACGCTGGCCAAAGCCATCAAGGTCAGCGACGACATGATTCGTTTGGTTACCACAATTGCCATTTTGGCAGTGGCTAGAGGAGATTCAGAAGATGAAGAAGAAGAAGGAGGGTATCAAGCCCTTCAATCCATGTTGGCAGTTTTTGCCATCTTAATGGTGCTGCTGACGCTCTTCGTCCAATGGCTTTGGAAGGTTGGAGTACAGATTGCAAGGCGTCAGAATCTTTCGCCTGAAGCGACTGGAAGTCGCCCTGAAGTCAGAGGAGAAAAAATGGGAAGAAGGGGTGGTGAGGACGGGTTGAGCTCAAGCTCAGTCCAGCTCCCATCCGTGGCCGTTGAGAAGGGGTTGGGCTTCGGCTGTTGAGAAGGGGTTGGGCTCAGGCCCAGTCCGCCTCCAGCCGCGGGAGAGAGGTGGTGAGTCAGACGATGTACCACCTCGACGACCCCGCCAAGGGCCCACCGAGATGGTGGAGCGCCCACAATTCCTTCCCAGTGAAGAAGGAATAGAAAATGAAAGAGAAGAAAATGAAAGAGAAGAAAATGACAGGGGAGAAGAAACAGAAGTTTCAAGCACTAGCAGCTCAGAAGAGTCCAGTGACAGCTTAGGAGAAAGAATCGAAAATGAGCTGCAGAACATCGAGGCCGAAGTCGCAGAGATTAGAGAAAGGTTGCGCATCACTCCACCGGAGGATGAACCAGATGCAGAAGGACCTGGCTTTGGGGTATTGACCACAAGATATGGGAAGGCATATCATCTTTCCCATCAGTGCCCCTACTTGACCAATCCCAGAGTTGGACCAGCGAGGCCATCAAGATGGTGCACCACTTGCAGGTTGGTGACTGCGCCTCGTGGGCGACCTCCTCCTGGTTTCCCTGTGCTGAATTCTGGATATGCTGGAAGATTTCATACGGATTTCCAGTGCCCTCATCGTGGAGAAGCCATCCAAATCAATCTGTGCGTTCGTTGCGCTGAAAGAATCGAAGAATGGGCAGTTTGAGCGTTTTGAGTTTTCCGGAAAAAGCATCACTCCACCGGAGGATGCACCAGATGAAGAATGTCAGCTTCAAACTGACGTTAAAGCTGAGGGGGAGTGCTGCATTTCATATCAGTTGCACTTCACATGTCAGCATTTCATTTGACATTCAATTTTTGTGCATTTCATTTTGCGAAGGGCCACATCAATAGCTGCCGTTTGGATCAATCCCCAATCGAGCAGAAGGTAGAAAAACCTGAGGAGCTGCTGCGCTGCACGGGTCATAGTTTGGACGATATCATCGCCAACATATATATATATATACATATAATATATATATATATATCCCATACATGAGCCATAGGTAAGCCATACCTTGGTCAAATCAAGCGAGCAATTTCTCAGGTGCCCAAGGCGCCAAGGTGGGACTACAGTAGCCCCTGGTGCCCACAGGAAGGTGCGCCGTGTCGGTTGGGATTTTCAGGATCCTAAAATGGATGTACTAACTTACCTTCTGGTTATTTAACATAGCCATGGAAAATCACCATTTTTAATAGTTAAACCATCTAATAAATGTGTCATTTTCCATGGCTATGTTAAATAACCAGTGGGTAGTACCATATAAACTTTGATAAAATTTGGGGGATTCCCTGAATTTCGCCGCAGAAAATAGTTGTTTTTTTTCGTGGTACCTCCAATGTAGATTACCTGGGCCATTGGGCTTTGCCGGCTTTGCCTTGGACGACCTAGAACTGCAGAGGTGGCCTTAGTGGATAGCTGGATGATTTATTCGGACATAGAAACATGGAATACAAAGAGATGAGAAGAACTGGTTGGTGTTTTTGGGATGGTAGAACCACATCGCTTGCTGACAATCCTTATATATTTTTTTTTGGCGTACTTGGAGCGCTATCAATTGCTAAAACACGGTCATGATGGTCATGGGTGTCCCAAAGCTGGTTGTTGCGACCAACATGAAAGGTATCAACGTCATTGCGCAAGTCAGGGCCGTTGGGGTTAACAAGTTGCTCACTAATTGGAGGGCCTCAAGATGACTTAGCCGCTGGCCTCAAAGCGAATGCAGCCAACCCAATATCCTGAATGAGGCCATGATGTTTGATCCAAACTTGGCCAGTCTGCGCCGCGCAAAACCTGTTGAGCAGTTTGTTCAGGGGAGGAGGCAATCAGCAATTGGATGTTCCTTGGGATTAGCGTTTCGGGCTGGAGTAACTACGGACAAATCCCATTCATAAATGCATAAACGGTACAATTAATCTCAAACCGTTTGAGTTTGCAACCTCTTACCTCAAACCTACCTATGACCAATCTTCAACGTATTTTGAGTGCCTTTGGTTGTCAGTTGCAGCGAGTTTCCATGGGGTAAATCACCAGAAAGGATCGCCATGGCCAGGTGGCTATGGCTATGAGGCCCCTTTTCCGGATGATGTCGACCTGGACACCTACTTTCAATACGTCAACGAAGGCCCCGCGGCCGGTGTCCCTTACTGAGTTATCTACTGAGTTACAGTAGATGTGTATATATGTACATACAGTAGATATGTATGATGGTTATGATGTATAGATGTATAGTAAATTGAAAAAAACAAAAGAATTACAAGAACTTCCAAACCTCCCTGGGAGGTCTACTGATAATTGTGTTTGTTATTCCTTTGATTATATACAGGTTATCTCGGCGATCTCTCTACATACAGTATCTACTAGTATATATATATAGACAATCAATGAAAGCAGCTGAAGTTCAGCCTAGTTTGTTAGTCTATGCCGTTTTCCCCCTCCAATGATGTTTAGATTTGTCCAGCTGCCATTTGTACGGTGTGATGCAGAAGGTGCATCGTCATGGAGGGGGAATGTATGCTGCTACTCGTAATCTAAGTTTGTGAACTGCCACAGGTGCAATACAGTTCATGTGTGGTCACGTGGGTAACGTTCCGATTCAGAGTTTTTCCCCAAAAAGTTAAACAGCACAGAGATATTTGCCACATTTTTTTCATCATTTAAGTTGGATTTTACCAACTTCCATATGTTTTTCTCATGATTTTTTGCGGGTTAGTGTTCTGAATCAGCCCCCAAGGTGGAGGCTGCAAGGATTATCAGGGCATCAAGACCGGGGGCTGGAAATTCACGGGCTCTGGCTGCGATGCTTGGCGACGCCATGGAAGCCATGGCCCTAATCGAAATAGATGGTTTACCTATGAAAAATGGATAAAAATGGTGCTTTTCCATGGCTATGTTTAAATAAGCAGATGGTATATACAATAGATATGTATACAATATGTAATGTATGATATATAATGATATATATATATAATTGAAATAGTTGATAAATGGATATGGATGGTTGGTTGATGATTGTATAGTTTGGGGACCATGAAGTTATACTATCCAATCATGGAGATTGTCATCATACCTGGATTCAATGGAATGACATCAAGCGGGTTTTGCACAGAGCTGGAAGAACCTCATGGCTTCGTGTTTTTTCCTGAATGGTTTATATATATATATATTATATACATATTATAGACATATAATGTGTAATCCTCGCAAAAATAAAGTATATACCTGCGAAACACGAAAAGACAATATATAAATTATACACAACTACGTTTTCTTTGTGGTAAATTGCATATCAACATGTTGGAGTGGTTACTATAATGTGTGAGCATACACATCGTAAATGCTGGAATATGTGGGATAGATTTCACAGGCTGCTCCTGGATGTTTGCTTGCAGATGGATGGTGCACTAGAGGAACCAAGGTCCGAGAAACAACTGGGAATCAATGGTTTCGGGGTCCCATTTTAGGAAACCCCCATCTGTGGCCCACAGAGACGACTTGATATGACCAGTGCACCAGACAAGAGCCCGCATCGTTCAGGTCCTCCGAAGTCTGCCCATCTGCTCCTAGGTGGATGGCGCTTGTCCTGGTTCTGATGCTCCTCTCTTTGGTGCCTGGGCCCTTTTTTGGAGACGGGAAGGAGGAACCGAACCAAGCAGAGGGATTTCGTGTGATCTCCTGAGTCTACTGAATCGATATACAGATACATGGGATGTAAGCAACAATATGGCGGGTTGCCAAGAAACAGATTAAACATGATTAAACCATATTGAACCATCATTTTATGTTCTCGTACTGGGACAGATGATAGCCCACCACAGGAATTTTGGGACACACTTCTACATGGGGTTGATAATTGGGTTGATTGGGATTGATTTGGATTGGCTTTGAATGACCGGTCAATCCATTTCTTTGGTTTCAAACTAGCCCTCTAGAAATGATGTGCTTAAGTAGAGGGGAACTTGCTTTTTCCATTACTTTATTGACAGTAGACATCTGAATTAAGATCATTTTCCGGAGTGGGAACGAATCCAAAATCGTTGACTCTGACGGTAGGTATCCAAAACTGTGGCTGTTAAGCCACAGAAGTGACACGTAAATGTTGATCTGTTGGAAACTCAAATTCCGTTTTGAAGTCTGAGCCAGGATTGGGTAGACGTCCAGTGGCAACATAGTAACTTTTACTGGAAATGGATCTGAGACGCGCTGGTTGGGTTAGCTGATGCTAGCTGTTTTCCGTACTATTTAGTCAGTAAAACGGACAGGCACGTGACACGGAACAGTCTTATTTTCACCCTCAAACAGTATTTGCCAAGGTCAACCAGATGGCCGAACAGATGTGGAAGGTTGCTGCTGGTGGGGCCGCGGGGTGATCCAAACAACTGGCACCTGTAGCATGGCGAGGTAAAGGCTGAGCCTAGTTGAGCTGAGGTGAAGTGGGTGACATGGAGCATTGATGGGAATATATGGGAATCTGCTGTATGCTTCTGAACCAAAGTTTTGGATTTGTTTTTTTTAATAAACTTGAATGGCAAAAAAAAACTAAAGGGGAGAACGTGGGAAAGAAGAACCCACATCATGGAACATGGTCTATGAATAGTTCCACGATTTACCGTTTTTCAACATGGTGAATTGCCAGATAGCATCATATGCTATGTGAACCAAAATATCTCGGAGGGTTTGGAACTTCTGACAGAAAAGGGGACGTCGGACATCCAATTTGAATCAATTAGGTGTACCTGCTCGGGCCATTGCTGGGGCAGAGTCACAAAAAATGGCTCATGGTGGATGCACCCCCCAATCGGCAATTTGAAGGCCTGAAAAAGTCAGAACATGGCTCTTTATGCTCTTTAAGGCTTGTTATCCTTTTTCATGCAAAAAAGCAAACATACCATGATTAACACTATTTATTATGTTATAACCACCACAGTGTTTTTGGAGCAATTCTATTTGGACACTCATACGCTTCTTTTCGGCATGAATCGAGGAATGCACGGCCAATAACTTGGATGACAACGTACCAACACCCCATTTTGGGATCCAAAAATGTGGTACCCCCAAATGGGATGATGCAAAAAAAACATATTTAATCATTGTATTTCGCATAAGAATGAATATTTGATGGGTATACGGTATACATGGGTATACCGCATTTTAAGACACCTGTATTGCTGAGAATTCAACTCCCCCTTAAGTTGCTGCCGAGGCAACTTCGGCAAGTTCCTTGGTTGAGGAAACAACGTGAGTCCAAGATTTCCAGGTAATTTGCCTGGCCTAGAGATCTGGATAGTATGATAAGTCATATTAGTGCCATGGTCAAAAGTTGGACCCGCCACCCGTGGGCAGTTTGTGAGCGAAAATATCCACATGGAGCGCGTCAAAAGTTGGATTGTACATATTTTTACATAATTACCCATCTTTGGGGATGGTCATCAACACATTAAGAGGGAATTCTTATATGAACCCATTGCAAGGATTCCCATTATGGGATGGTGTTGTGTGACCCTACATTGGTTCATCCGGATGGCCTTAACTGAGACTGAAGGGACAACCGGGTAACGATGACACATTTTTCTGGAAGAAAAGGTTTGAGGCTTATGTGACTGTCATGAATTGTTGCGGCATGTGCTTGTGATGACCGTGATGATTAGCCAACTTTGGATCTATGCAGGGCATTTTACTCCATGATCCCGTGGCAATCAATGGGTTTCTGTTTGCTATCAATGTGTGGGGTAATTCATACAGCAAAGAATGAATATGTTTTGGTTAGGGCCGTTAGGGTGCTGTATCCGAGTTTCGCCTTCTTTTGCAAGGATTTGGACGGTTTTTCGCAACTCCAGGTTGAATTTCTACATGGGCAAGCGAGCAGCCGACGAGGGACGTAGCTCTATCTATCCCTCCATCGACTTTTGTGCTCTGCCAGCAATGAGAAAAGTTGACAAAGTTGCAAAGTGTGGCAGGTATATCATTGGGGTTACAGGGAATATGGATAGGTACAATGCAGTAGACTTACGGTCCAGTGGAACCATCTAGTCCTCTTTGCATCACATGGGGCCAACGTCCTGGTTGCAGGATGCAGCTAGCTCCATGCCACAAGGAAACCCCTATCCTCGAACATGCATGTGTTCGCGTTTCAGCAATCTGAAAAGAAGACCCAAGTCCCGCAAAATAGTCGAAGAACCACATGTCTGAAACCCCAGTTAAAGAACCCCACTTAAACCCACTGTTAGAACTATATAATATTATACAATATAACTTATATATATACTACTTAATAATAATATATATATATATACATGTCAAAAAGAACATCCACTCCGACTTCTACTTGTTATAGTTTATGAGTCATCCTATTTGTTTTGGAAATCCGACTCCGGAACCTCAGGTAAAAATCCCAACTCCATCTGCGATCCGAACAGTCCAGCTGAACTGAAGTGGGTGGCCGGCACCGCGGTGAAACAATGGAAGTTTGATTGATGGTTTAGCCAAGAAAATGAAGGGGTTTTGAATGGTTCTGAATGGTTCTGGTATGTTCTGGCAATAGCTGTATCTTTTTGGAGTGGCCAAGGAGGATATGTTTGACTGAGGAGGGGATATTTGCTAGAATTGTTGGGGGATTGAATTCATGGTCATGTCTCAGTTGACAAAAAAAACAAGATTTAAGCACCCAAAATAGTGCGAACTTGGGATGGAATTGAACCAGTCAGTCATTGTTCTTGTTAGTGCGGTTATACGAACTGATCTACATATTGAATATATCCACTGGGAATGTTGTCAATCCACCAACCAGTAGAAGGGAATAAACAGTTTCGCCCAGTTTCGCTGGCGCATGTATGGAGGAAGAATATGATTATCGCAGTGATATGTATCACCATTGCTAGTATGAGTTGATTATTGTTATCATGTGCTTTATTATTATTATTAGCATGAATTGTTGTTATTATTATCATGAATATAAATGAATATAAGCTATAAGTTGTTTATTGTTATCATGTTTGTTATTGTATATTATTATTGTCATGTGTGTTTTTGTTGTGATGAATATTAACTTATTCTGTTTGTTGACCTAAAGATGGATTCTTTAAAGAATCACCCAGATCTAGGTAAATAGACCGTGTATGGAATAGATTAATGTATATATATATACAATATATATATACAATATATATATATATATATACAGTAGGTTCCCCGGCCTGCGATGACAGGTATGTTTTACTGGCTCAATGCAGTGCAACCCTACAATTCTGGTGGCTGGAACTACATCAGTGAACTGCCGCTTGGATCATCGGGTCAGTCAACATAACACGGACATCCAGAAATCATTGAATCAATTGAGTCAATTGAGTCACTTGCCTCGAGTTACCCTCCGGTACTCAAACACGGCAATGGACAATTCCCCATTTATATCATCAATGGCCATAATGTAAGGGAATATCCCAGCAAAATATGGCCTTATATGGTACAGTACCTCCATTTTAGGATCCTGGAATTCCCCATTTATATCAGATGATTTTTCCACTAAGACCTTCATTTAGTTCGGGAATTCCTCAGCTTGATTCTGGGCATATGTGTTCTGCCGGTTCGAAACCCTTTTTAGCAGGGTCATCACTTGACGATGCCTGAGGGACGTGGTAAATTCTGGTAAATTCCAAGAGGTTACAGGAGGTCTTGTATAGGAAATTTGACCTGAAGTATACCCGAATATGTTGATTTTGCTACAGAAAATGATCGTCATCCATCAAATTTCAGGGTACTCTGTGAAAACAGACAAGCCCAAATTTGCAATCGAGCAGTGCAGGTAGCACATGTTTGGAAGACATACACACTTTCTAAGATCGAAATTTCGGAATTGAGGTCTATGTCCATGTCACAAGAGCCAACGATTGGTCGTGTTGTCCGTTCCAGCTTCTATCCCACTTGAAAAAATATCCTGAGCAGTCGGTCATTTCCCATCAAAATCACAGTTTCTCAATTTTATCCCTGGAGCTCCCGCTAAATGGGACAGATTCTTGGAGGTATAGCATACTATAACTACACCCAGTGGTACACTTAAACCACTTGTATATACTTATTGATTGTCCCTGCACCTATACACCCATGGCAGTTTAGGATTTTCAGGAATCATCACTTCATGTCGGCACACCAAGTTTTCAACAATTTACCTCCATTTACCAACTCGAATGTCCTGTTGAATCTCCCATATTGGCATATGAGTATTCTATTATATACTTGTACACAAAGTTTACACATATGTGTATCTACGTTCTAACTCCAAAAATCCTATAAATAGTCACTGTAGTCACGCATCATTGTCATCTCAGGAAGAAGTGGGTGGACAATGGCATGAACACCGGCGATAGCTCCTTCATCAACGGTGCCTCTGGCATCGTGAACCGCGGCTGTCACAACCCGCCGAACTGCGGAACCGGAGAGTTGCACGCTGGAGTGACCTCGGCTGCAGGTGGGGTGGGTGGATCGCAAGTGAGCCATTGTTTTATAGCATTGTTAGCATTGTTGGATGGGAATACAATGTGAATGATCTGATATATATATATATTGTATGTATATATATATATATATTGTATGTGTATATATATATATACATATATATACACATATCATATTATATGACAAAGTTGATATGATATTTGGATGGATGACAAGTGATGACTTGTATTTGTTTTCCTGACATGAAACCAAGGTTTTCGTGTGGCAAAGCCAATGCCATAAACCTGCCACATCTTGGATATGTTTAAGAATGTGTGGTAATTAAGATTGGGGATGGTTTATGATTGTGTATATTGATGTGTATATTTATGTTTATATTTATGTTTATATAACATATTTGGATGACAACTATGTTTTTTAACCCACAAAATCGCTGTTCGGTTTCGGACACCAGGTCGTCGGACGCGAATGTCGGTGAAAAAGAAAAAGGTCCAAGGTATTGGATGATCTGGATGATATATCCCATAGGATCTGTGGTGCTGGTATGTATGCTAACATGACTATCATGACTGGGGTATATTGATGGGATCCATGTTACCATATATAGCATACATGGATCCTATGGCCTATGGGATCAAAAAATATATATATACTAAGAAGCTATGTTTGTGTTTCTAAGATTGCCCGTGGAATCTAGCAACAGTTGAGATGCGTACCATGGTTTACCAACAGAATGCTGATGTTAATATGTTAAACATCAATCAGGTGATTTTACGAGACAACAACTCGGTAAATCATCTAGACCTCATTGACTGACCCCATTTTTTTTGGGGGGGGGAAGCTACCATCGCACTGGTTGTATGGGCTATATAACATGTCTGATGTGAGAATGATACTAGTTGTAGTATTCATAATTAATAGTTTGCTGGCACGGCGGGGCTTCAAAGCAAAGACAAGCTCAAATCGCCCAAAACGGACCATTCTACTGATGTTTATTTAGGGGGTTTAAAACTTCAGGTGTTTGATGATCGAATGGGTTTTGATCCATTCTCGAACGGCAGGGGAATGAATTCCGTCTTTGAGAACCGAGTTCTCTTCCATATCCTTCATAGATTGATTCCCGTTGCATGGCCAATACCGAAGACGCCACACATGTTTGGTGAACACTAAAGTGAATTCACTAAAAAGATCCAAAAAGAAACAAGCATACCATAAATACCTATTTTTAAATTTTATACTTGAAATGGATGTGCATATGGTTGAACAAGATTCCAACGTTACATGGGCCAATGGTCACGCAAGATTGGTCCATATTTCTGGATTCCTCCTTGAATTTGAGCGCCAGATCTTGGAAGCCCGAGGCAAAGCGGGCTGAAAACTTCCAAAAAGTGCTGAAGGCGATGGGTTTGGTTTGAATTCAGTCAATGCGAAGGAGACGATCCTGAATGAATATGAATGAATAAGCACATGCATTCATGCAAAAAAAAACAGGTTTCATGCATTTCTGATGAAGTCCTCTGTGGCAAAAGTGAATCGTAGAAAGCAACATGCCGCCATAATACCAAGTCCCATCCCCACAATGAAGATCTTAAGAACCGTCCCTTGAAAAGGGTACATCCCTAGTAGGTTTCTGAGCCAGATCCGAATTTAAACGAAAATCATTTTCAAACACGTTCCCTTATGTTCCTAAAGGTTGCTAATGCATGCTTTGAACGCAAGATCACACAGTTTCTGCTTGACATACTGCTCCGAGAGCTTAGCACGTGGTTCACTACTGCAGTATGCGGCATCTGCTTCGAGTGATTCATTTGGGACGCTTCAGCCTTGACACTGTGGGATGGAGAAGAGGCGCTTCGAACACGCCAGGGGAGAAATTCAGGAAGACTTGGATCTTGTTTTTTACCACAGAAAGAGTCTCACATAATCTCAATCCTATTTGTCATTTGTGTCTGGAACCAGGAGCCATTCAATTTTAGGACATGCCCATGAAAAATCGTGCTGGTGATTACTGGTGCAAGTTTGTCCATCCATTGTACATGTTGGGTGCCATTTGGCAACTGCAGATTTCTATCATGGATCCATTTGGGTGATGCGACCAGCGAACTGGTAATTGAAGTTTGGATGTCTCTCCCACTGGAAATTGGAGACATATGCTTTCAAGCCTCCATCAGCACTCCAAATACCCAATTTGGGGTGCATAGCGCAGTTCTTCTTTCACTGCTGTTTGCAAACTCGAGATGTCACTTCATGCCAGGGTCAAACGATTATACTCCCAGAACGTGATGGCATTGGAACCCACGTTTGTGTTTGCGTCGTGGCGCATATACGCAGTGTAAATGGTATGATTAAGGAATGAAATTACGTGTTGCGGCAGGAATTGCTATCGGTCTCTCAAGTTGCCCCTTGCTGTTTGGGATGGTTGTACGAGAAACAGCTGCTGGGGTTTCTGCAGCGTACAAAAACTCTTGAGAAACCATATGACAGACACAGATTTGATCGATCTCACTTGACACTGGGCCTCACTTAATTCAGCCAGTTCTTGGCTTCTGCTGTATAGGAGGCATCGTGAGGAGGGAGGCTGCGCGTCGTGTGCCGCCACCAGTTGGGACTCTGGAGAATTTCCCGGGGCCCTGGAAGCTGCGTGGGCTGGCGATAGGTTAGTCCTCCTTCCAAGCTTTGTCCCGGGGCCGGATGACAAACAACGGCACCGCGGTTTCTCGACACCTGTAAAGAACCAACTCTCCTGAACTAGCGGATGGGAGTGTGGCTGCAGAAGCACAGACAGGTCCGAAATTCCAAGAAGCTGAGAGAAAGGGTGCCGTGATAAACTATACATAAATATTATATTCTAATATCTTCTAATTAGTTTATATATTTTATAAACTATAATTTTATTATATAGGTAATATATGTACATACAATTATATATAATTGAAGTTATCATATCCCAACTTCTGTGGATAAGAATCCTTTGCATTCTACCCATATACAAATAACTTTAATAGACCAGGATATAACCGAGATACAGGTCACTCTTTCGATTATCAACACGGAACGTGTGCGATGGTCGCTGTTGAGGATCCAGACAAAAAGGGTTTCGGTGGTCCATCGCAAAGACATCGCATATATATATACGTATATATATATATATATGCCTGACAAAATCTTCATGATGTGGCGGATAGTTTCGGAACCATTTGAAAATCTGTGAGCCATTCCTATGGGACATATACTCGAGAATTCTTGATAGTTTGAAGAAACCGCTGCAATATGACACAATGACTAGGTCGAGCTACGGTTTTATCAGACCCCAATCCTTACGCTTGAATTTGTTTGAGGATGACTCCTTGGCTTTATAGGCTATAATTACGTCAAAATTGTGTGCCGGAATATCTGGACATGGAAATTCTGGAATTATGTATCTCAAACATGACCAAAACGGGCTTAGATTCTGATCCATGCCCAATTTGATGAAATAAACACCAATGAACACCCTATTATAGTAAGCCCGAAAAAGATAGACTCTAGACTTAAGTGATTTACCATGATTCATACTATGAGTTGTGTTTTTCCTATTTTTGTTTGGGGTTGCCATATTTGATATACGCTGATATTGTCTGTGATCGGCCCGTTGTGAATTCTACCTTTGCCGTGCCGTTCGGCAGGAGGAGAGCTGAACTACAACGTGGATTGGAAGAAGTCGGGGAGTCCCAGGGTTTATCGCCAGCGTGCCGGCGCTGGTACCATGGCAGCCATGGCACAATGGTATCATCAACGAAGGTTTATGAATAATGGAGGAATGATATATAATATAAAAAAGTTGTGTATAATGAAGGCATATGAAATGGATGTAGACTGTATAATATGTGTATGGACATGGACCTGGAGGTATATTGAATGGAGGCATGTCAAATGGAGGAAAAATGGCACTAGTGCATAATTGAACGTAATTGGATATAATCCATAATGGAGGTATAATCGGTATATCAACGGGACAGAATGGGACATAATTTGGTATATAACCAACATTTTGATCTTATAAGATGTTGTCCAAAAATGAGGTACTGTAGACTCCACATGACTCCACATGTTTTTTGGGTTTAACCACGGGAAACGATCATCGCACCATGAAAAATGGAAGGGGTAACCGGCTAGCATGGCACAGCACCTGGTGAGGTTTCCAGACAGCGATATCCTGCAACCCCACCTGACAATGCCACTGTGCTGCCCGGATCCTGGACCCAAGGGGAGAACGAAGATTCAGCAGCCCGCTTCGAGTACCGTAAAGGGGTGCCAATGGGTGCTGTTTTGACTCAAAACCACAGAATTACATGCCAGTAGTTGACTCTGTGAATGACTGATTGTTGTTTTACATAGTTGACTCTGTGAACCACTGATTGTTGTTCATTTCGAAAACAATCACGTCTCATTGAAGTTGGCATATGTTGGTGTACCATGTCTTTTCATGTTTAAAATGTTTTGTTGCCGCGGTTCTAGCCAGAAGCTGAACAAATGCATGGTTGATTGACCCTCCAATTAAGGGCTCATGTTATTTGCAAAAGACGGCTGATGAAGGACGCAATTTAGATTCCATGTATCTGGGTCAATTACAACGACCTCACTCCGACCGAAAGGTGGAAAGGTGGTAGGGGTAACTATCCTCATATGCCCTGAAAAAAATCAGGATGGTGAATCATTTCAATTTACCCAGATGTGTATCGATATATATATATACATTATTATACTATACTATTATATATATATATTATATATATATGTTATAACTGGTTGGTGGTTTGGAACCATATATATATGGGAATAATACTCCCAACTGACTTTCATATTGTTCAGAGGGGTTGAAACCACCAACCAGATAATTTATAATTAATACTAGATAATTACCCATATTGATGCACATGTTGGTTTATGAAACAGAAAGCACAGATCGAAACCTGGGAAACCTGGAAATATTCCGTTTTTATATCATTTGTACTGTAAAATCCCGGAAATATCATGTTTTCATATCATACTGTAACATTACTTTTCTTGGGAACATGTATATAAATATATAATTATATTCTATATATGTTTATAATATATACATATATGCATACATACATACATAGACAGAGACCCTCCAAACAGCCCTAAAAAGTTGTAAACGGTGGTAAAAGTCTTGAACTGGTGTAAACCACTATTTTTATGGGTACAAACGGATGGTCAGACCGTTTGCCCCGACTTCAGCTTTGGACGTCTTGATCCAGACTCCACATGGTGAAGAACCACCATCCTTGAGACTTGGATTTTCGGGATGTTGGATGGGGAGGCAAACTGTCTCCAAATTATTAAATTGTATCAACTTGGCATAATATACTAACTCCCCAAAAAAACAGATGGAACAGTAAAATGTATCACTATGTTAGTCGGATTTTACTTTTCGATTCTTTTTTGGGAAGTTGCTTTTGGGTACCCTTGTTTCACCACATGCGAGTTTTCGCGAGTCGGAGATATGGGTGTCTCCGAATTTGTCCGAATCTGTCCGAGCGGAAATGGGAAGCCAGTTGAAGCTACAAGAGCTGAGTTTCCCAACCCCATGACAGTTATATAGTTCAGATTGGTGAATTGCTACAATCCACCACATGTTTTAACACAAAGAATATGTGGCGTTCTGAATACCCGCCATGTGAATACGGGATGCGTTACCACGCCCACCAAGGCATCTTGGGGCGGATGAGACATCCGTGTAGAGCATAGATTTGGATAACCTCACTGCGTTACCGGAATGGTTTGTAAAGGGTACTGTAACCATACTGTAACCATCCACAAATGGTTTTCATCCAAATTTCAATATTTCAGGTTTTTGGTTGAACATTCAAAGCTTAATTGAATAGTCGTTCGTCCCTTTCTCCACAGAAAGGCCGCACCGCCGCACCACCAATGTATTTTTGACATGTTGCAAACTCAGCGCAATAAGCTCCCAGAAAAAATGGGAAGGTTTTACCGTTTGCTGGATTGTGGTATAAATAATCTTTAATGAGGATAGGGGCACCAGTCAATAAGGCTAATTACTATTAATCAGTTTCTGTTGTCAGACCATCATCCAAAAACATTCCAACAACTTCATGTTAATTCTGATGTTTGGTATGTTTTGTTTTGTTTTTTTCTGGAATGAGTTGAATATTTTGGAATGATTTCGGCTTTGTGAATTTGGAATTCTTGAACTTTGGAGTGATTTGGAATTGTTTGGAATTGGTTGGAATGAGTTGTATGTTTTTGTTTTTCTGGGAATGATTTAGATTTTTTGTGGACTGATGTTTTTTTTCGTTTTTTTTTTGGTTTTATGTTTTTTTTATTTCTTTCTGAATGATTTGTTTTTTTTATTATTATTTTGTTGTTTGAATGATTCAGAAGGTTT